CCCTGGACAGCAAAGAGAACAAACCTACCCATTCTGAAGGAAATCAACCCTGAGTGCTCATTGGAAGGACAGATCCTGAAGCTGAGGCTCCAGTACTTTGGCCATCTCATGAGAAGAGAAGATTCCTTGGAAAAGACCTTGATGTTGGGAAAGTGTGAAGGCAAAAGGAGAAGGGGACGACAGAGGACGAAATGGTTGGACAGTGTCATTGAAGCTACCAACATGAATTTGACCCAACTCCAGGAGGCAGTGGAAGACAGGAGGGCCTGGCATGGTTTGGTCCATGGGGTCACTAAGAGTCGGACATGACTTAACGACTCAACAACAAAAATAGTTTGGCCTATAGTTGAAGCTTAGGCAGAATGTATTCGCAAAGGCTTTCACGGTCAAGATCTAATGGTTGTTGTGGGGTTTTTTGGGCTCAGCTCCCAGCTATACTCAACTCCCAAACTGCAGCAGAACACAGAGTGCTACTTCTGTCCTCTGAAGATGCCAGCCACAGAGACTGCTGAAACATTAGTAAGAACAACCGCCAGAACACGGCCAAAGAGCCCAAAAAACCCACAACAAACCTTAGACAGAATCCTGGTGTATATTAGTTGAAATCTCTTCTTAGCATGTGATTGTAGAATGTTGGGGAAACTGGTAGGGTGGGGCTGTTACCACCCATCTTAGAGAAATGAATTAATAAAGAAGAACTCTGACTAAAGTCTGTCTCATTTGGTCAGTCAGATAAGTTCAGGGAATACAGATCTATTTTGCTTCAAAGATAAATTTATTTTTAATTATTTATTTATTTTATTATATTTCTACCCCACCCATCTATAAAGAGTACTCCTGAATTATACCTTTGGGTACATCAGAGACAGTACAATTCCCTAGAGCTATAAAATTTGACTTTACAGGTTTTATTTAGATTCATTGGTTAAGGAGAAGAAAGGGCATATGTTCGTGGACCAGAGGACTACGTTCCTTGTGCTGAAGGTAACAAATTTTTGCTATCTCACTTACTTAAGTTCAGGGTCTTCTTTTTCCTCTTTGGTAGGAGTCACTTTGAGACCGCCTTTCCTGGCCCGAGGACAACCAGACAAGCTGGAATAAGTGCAGAAAACAAAGCAATTTATTTATCATGGCCTGTAATGTAAACTCCCAGGATTTCTCAGGAAATATTTCACTCCCATGTACGTGAAAGATTCTTACCTTCTGTGGGAGGCATAATTTCCAGTCACATGACCAGAGCCATCACATCCAGGAGTAGGACACCTATGAAAGATAAGGAAGAAGGAGCGTGAAGGACAAGGAAGGAAGCATTTTGCATTTTGTACAGAGGTTCGGCAGTTTGAATCTGCACAATGGAGTGAGCTCCTGTTGCTTGTCCCAGTTCCTGCCAACTAGCAGTTCGAAAGCATGCAAATGTGAGTAGATGAATAGGTACCAACTTGGTGGGAAGGTTCCATGTCTAGTCATGCCGCCTTTGTGGCCATGGAAAGTGTCTACAAATGAATGGTGGCTCTTTGGCTTACAATCAGCAATGAGCACTGATACCTAGAGTTTGACATGACTGGACTTAATTGTCAAGGGGAACCTTTACCTTTTTTTCCAAATAGAGATTGAGCAACTGGCACAGACCTCTTGGCTTTCCTAAGTGTTTAGACTGGTAGCAGCATAGCTGTTTAGCTTGGGGAGAGAGGGGGAAACCAGACAGCCCTCCTCTATTCTTATTTTACCATTGGTTAAAATCCTCTTGCTTAGCATAGTAAGTTGCAATTAAAGTAAACCTATTGAATTAATGACACTTAAGAAGCTTGGGCATCTGCCTGGACCCGGATCTCACCATGGAAACCCAGGTGGCATCTGTGGTTCAGGCAGCCCATTTCCATCTTTGGAGGATTGGCCAGCTGCATCCCTATCTAGATGTGGGCACACTCACAATGCTGATTAATGCCCTCGTAATCTCAAGAATAGACTACTGCAGTGCTCTCTATGTGGGGCTACCTTTGAGGCTGATGTGGAGACTTCAATTGGTCCAGAATTTGGTGGCCGGATTAATAACTGTGGTGAAGAAATTCCTGCACGTCTCCCCTACTGTGGCCACCCATAATTGGTTACCGGTTCATTTCTGCATCAACTTCAAGGTTATGATGATAACATTAAAAGCCCTAAACAGTTTAGGACCTAGGTATTTATCAGAATGCCTGCTCCCAGCCAGATCTGTCCGTAATACCCGCTCTTCACAGGCACGGCAGTTGAGGGCCTTGACCCTGAAGGAGGCCTGGAGGGAAAGAACATGAACCAGGCCTTCTTGGCGGTCACCTCCACCTATGGAACAACCTGTCTATTGAGATCCGCCTAGCACCCTCGCTGGATGAGTTCAAAAGAGCATTGAAGACCTGGCTCTTCCTCCAGGCTTTCCCAGAGCACTAAGATCTTGCCCTCACTTTTTACCATCCTTTTTGCCATCCTCTCCACCACCCTTTTAACCACCTTTATTGCCATCTGTTTTAATTTCCCTATTTGTTATGTATTAATTTAGTTTTTTATGGTGCTTTAATATTGTTCCTAATACTGTTGTTAGCCGCCCTGAGTGGCCTGGTTGCCAGATGGTGCAGGATATAAATTTAATAAATAATAAATAAATAAATTATGATGGAGTTGACTCGCAAATCCTTTGATTCAATGTGTAGCTACTCTAGATGCAACTTACTAGGCTAAGCAATAAGGATCTGAGTCAACGAGAAGAGCCACACTAGCCCTAAATCCCTCCATTGCCACTTCTCCCTTGCTTATTCACTGGATATCAAGTGCACAAATTTGAATCCGGAGCCATCAAAGATACAGAAACCTTTCCTCATCAGAAGATCATACTCCATGAATAAATAATGACAGGAAGGTAGAAGAGCTAACATACTCCCCGCATATTCACAGTAATGTCTAAATGTTTTCCAGCCAGATATCTGCTGAACAACACCCTTGTTTTTGGATACACGTTACAAAAACTCACCAATGTATTGCTGCAATCCTTGATTTTCTTAATGCAGTCTGTTTAAAATATGTTTTATATTATATGGCAAACTGTGATGGAGCTATCAAGACAATTAGCCCTGAATTATAGATTCGTTCTCCATCATGGTCTCCATTCACCTTCCTCAAGTTGGAGGTAAAATCTCTGAAGCTAGAAGCACACTCTCTTCATGTTTCTCCTTGTATGATGCACAGTGAGTCTAACTACACAACCATCACAGTGTGACTCTACTCTAACTGCCATGGCTGCACACTAGGGATTCCTCGGATAAGTAGTTTGGCTGGTTATCTGGAATGCTTTGTTGTAGTTCAGAAGAGGCCATTAGAGTTCCCTGGCACCAAATTTCAAATCCATCACCAAACTACAAATCGTAGATTTCAAGATGGATGGAGTCATTGCAGTTAAAATGGAATCAAACTGCTACAACTGCATTGTGTAATTATCATCTCAGAGGTCTGTTAAATCATCATTCTAAATCAATTGGAGCCTGTGTGCAGTCCTCCAGAAACTGTGGCACTGCTACTGCCATCAGCCTCAGTAAGCATAGCAAGTGGCACAGCATGCTAGGATTTGCAGTCAAACAGTGTTTCCTATCCCAGTTCAAAGTGGTACAGGATGCCTGTCCAAGGAGAGTAGGTGTCTTGCTGCAGACGTTCACACACACAACCACAGGAAGGGTATCGGAAGTGATATTTGGGGCAGGAGGGGTGGAGTTAGCATCCTTGCCCCTAAGGACTTCTTCATGCACCACTAACTGCATAGTGGACTAGATACCCAAACAGACTTCTGGAAAGGAGACATCCTTGAAATATTTGTGAATTAAACACAATATTTGAACAAAACTCTGCACTGTATGGTAGGCAGTATTTGGTTCCCAAAGAACAAAACTGAGTTTTGGCTGAAAGAAGGAGATATCCAAGAAAATCAGCAGTTCGACGATCCACCCATCACCTTCTTCTGGATCTTACACTCACTTAAGCTCTTGAGAGTTGGCAGCCATCAAGGATTTCAATGTCTTGTCAGCTAGTGGGCAGCCAGAAACACTAGGAGAAAAAAGTGTTAAATAAGCTTATGAGTATGCTGAAACAACAAATAATAATAAAACGTAATAGCTGCCACTTCTTTACATAATTGCACCCACAGAATGGTAATGACATCACAAGCAGAAGTGATTCCAGTAATTAAATGCTTCCTCTTTCTATTCCATGGCTTTTCTGACTCCTGTGTAGTCCTGTTTGTCATCTGGAAGTCATGGAAACCATGGGAGAGGAAGAGGAAGAGGAGCATGGGGACTGCAGTACAGAAGGAGGATATTGCCAGCAGAGGATGGATTTCCATAATAAAAGACTTCCTCTTCCTGTCCTATGGCTGCTATAGCTTCTACATGATGGAAGAGGTTACATAAAAGCCAGAAAAGTCATGAGGCAGAAGTAGGAAGTATTTAATTACTCAAAATTGCCACAGCTATCAACACTACCCTTCTACAAGCATCATTATACTAAAAAGATTTCATGCAACAACATCCACATTAAAATGTTTAATTTAAAAAAAAATTAAAAATCCAACCACATTCAATTTTTTTAAAATCCCATCCTTAGCCCAATTACTTTTTAAAAATCCTGCTAACAGACCAAGGAGGAATTCCTTGGAATAAAGAAATAAGAGCCAGGGATTCCAAAGCCATGTACTTCTTATAACAGTACACTTATTGCTCAGAAGCAACTTGTCTTGGTCCATGTGCAGATTACAGACTGACAGTAAGAGTAATCTACTTTCTAGTTTCTCTGCTGTGCACGGTGGAAGGGCTTCCTTTTTTTCCCCTTCCTGAAAAAAAGAGAGAGTCAGTTGCTCAACATCTTTGAAGGGGAGGAGAGAGTGGGATTATTCCTGCAGAGATGGCACATATGGTGAATGAATGAGATATTTGACATTCTAGCCCAGAAGGCATAACTGGGATAGGAAAAGGCAAAGAAAGATGATGAAGCAGGCTGGTGGGTGGTATTTTTAAGCAGGCATGGGAGACATGACCTGTAAGACTGGTAGGAAGGAAAGGGAAAATAAGTGCTGATAATGCTAGTGTCATAGCATTGGTAGGTGGAACAGCAACCATTTCCTTCTCCTAATAAAAAAGGTAAAGGGCTAGGTCCAATCCAATGAAGAAAGAGCCATAACTCGAAGGCTGTGACAGCATGGTCAAATACTATGGAATTTGCTGCACATGTAAAATTGATAAATTTGCAAGATTTTTTATTTTTAACATTGCATGATGCAAAGGCCAATTTGAATTGACCTGGCCCTTTTTGCTCCCAACATAGCAGTTTTTTCTCTGTTGCAAGGGACTTCTACTTTTTTCAAGCAGGAATGATTTATATGGATTTTTACTCTGTGAGATCAGTTGTTTTCTTTTCCAAAAGATGAGGGGCATGACTGGGGAAGGTAGTCTGGTGATGTATTAAGGTGGGCATGATGTTTTTGGACAGTGGCAACACCAGCCTCTGCTATCCCTATTCAGCTAACTGGCCCAAAATATTTTTCATTTAAAAACCAAAAACAAACAACCAAGTTTTGTGCCATATCACCTTATCACCACACTGATATACTAGCTTAGTGCTAGAGCACCTCTGCACAGACAAAACAAAGATAAAAACTGATATGAAAAAGAAACAACCCTGACAAACGACAGCAGACTACTATATTTCTGCAGTATGTATGCATGACTTCGTACATTATGGAGAACTTTGGAAAACTCTCTACTTTCCCTAGTGCTGTGCAACACTTTAAACAGCTCACCAGTTTTAAAGTGAAACATAAAAGAAGAACTGGGGATTGGCACACAGCATGATCAAAGGAAACGAAGCTGTGGGATGTGGCATGGATTGAACTGCATCCGATTGATGGATGATATGGACACTGGCACTGAAACAGTCCACAGAATCCCACCAGTGACATAAATTAAGCTGCGAATCAAGCCTCCACAAAGTTGAATTGCTCCATTTCAGCTTGCCAGCATGGCTGCATCCTCAGTCAAAGCAACCACTCACAGAGGAAGAGTTAAATGCCCATCAAGAAAGTATTGTATAAGAGTTCTCTCTCCATGACATACTGTACACCCCTCCCTTATTTTCTGTGTCATCAGTCAGTTATTGGACAGATTTCAGAGGCAAAGAGTAAACGCCAGTAAAGGAAGTACAAGAGGAATATGGGTTCTCAGCATTCCCAAATTTGGTACTATGTTTTTGGAGCCAAAGGCTGTCAGTGAGGACCCTCAAAAGTGGATCAAATGGTTAAAGGCTTTATAAAACAACAGCAGCATTTTTAATATTGACAATAGTGTTTGGTTATCAGATGGTTCCATTTTTTTTTACCTGCGGTGTGATGCATAGTTTCCTGTCACATGACCACTGCCATCACATCCTGGTGTTGGACACCTATGGAAAGAAAATGAATGGAAATTGCACTCAAACATACAGTTGAAGTAAATATCTTTTATTGGATGGTGTGACAACTGTACTATCAGATAAGTACAATTTCTTGGAAACTATGTGAGAAATGTACTAGTAAATACAAAAACGATTGCAGCACGCCCCCATGTTACAATGCAAAACTCATGTTAACTCTTTTTCAAGCACATATGTGCCTAGAAACAAAATTGTTTGGATTAGAAGAAGGCTGCAGGTGAGAGCTGGCCTTGCTATGGATATCTGAAATGGTTGTCTTCAAAGCCGTGCTTTTTTAATGTTCAGTCATATCATAATGCTAAAGATAAGGATGAAGCATAGCAAGTTCTGATAACTTTATAGGCCACAAACCAGTTCCATAGTTCCGCTGGCACAATGGCAGTGATGCCATTGGCAGAAACTGATTGCTGCTAATTAAACTGATGCTTCCATTTTGGGTCCTATTTCACAGGATACTAGACAAAGGAATAATTTACAGTGTGGGAAATGAGTTAATCTATTGCAGCAAAAGCAAAAGAGTCTTGTGGCACCTTAAGTCTAACAAATTTTATTATGGCAGAAGCTTTCATGGCCTATAGCCAACTTCATTAGAAGTACAGACTCTTGCCTCAATTGGCAGATAATTCAATGCATGCTTGGGTAGGTGGGATTATAATTACAGGGGTCAGAAGGAAATGAAATGCAAAAAGTATTGACAGTGATAAATGTCATAACCACAATCCCTAACAAAACAGTAGTTGAGTGGCAACATGGACTGCCTTGTATTGATGAGCTGATGAACTGCAGAGTGATTAAAAAAAAAACTTTTCCCCATTCAGACCGCAGGAGATAGAATTCAGCTACATACACATGAGTAGCTTCTGAAAACAAAGACTTTTATCACACTGTATGTGCTCTTCAGCTCATCAATGCAAGGATGTGTTAGCATCCAACTACTGTTGTGTTAATGGACACTTTCAAGGTAGTTCTTATTGTTGACAGCTGTTGCATTTCAATTCCACCCATCCATAGGTGAGTGTAATGATCTGCCAGTTGAATAAGCATTGTATGACTTTGATAAAGTATCCTGTATCTCTGAAACCTTATGCCATAGTAAAATTGCTTAGTCTTTAAGGTGCTATAAAATTCTTTGTTGTTTTTATAGAAACAAGCCCCCAATTTGGTCCATGTATAAAAAAAGTAACACAGATTGGGCTCTGAGTTATGCTGTGCTCTCTTTGGGACGCTCCTTCCAAGCCATGTGTGTATTTGTGCCAGTTACTGTACAGTGGACCCTTGACTTACAGACGGCTTGACTTACAGACTTTTTGAGTTACAGACTTCTCTGGCCACAAAATTTAGATTTGACTTGCAGCCTGAGAATTGACTTACAGACCAGAAAAAAACCAAAACGGAACAAAAACGGCCTGTTGCGGGATTAATCGGTTTTCAATGCACTGTAGGTCAATGGAGACTTGACTTACAGACTTTTTGACTTGAGAACCGCCTTCCAATACGGATTAAGTTCTCAAGTCAAGACCCCACTGTACACTATGTTTGATTCTGACAGATAACTTGAGGAAAAAGTTACACAATCCAAATGCAATTATTTCAGGAAGAATTATTTGTCACATAACACAAGAAAAAGACAAATGGGAGATGTCTGGTATGAACTTTGGCAGTGACACCCCTATATCAACAAGAAAAGAGAAGTCAAACATGGGGAGAAAGACAAGAAAGACATCTTAAACTGAAGTTCTGATCTAACCACTCAAGACCTATCTGCAAATGCAGACCATTCATCTGCACACACATGTATACTCATTCCTGGTAGAGTAATACAATGAAAATATAGATGTAATAATGATGTTTTAAAGAGAAGAAAAGAAAGAAAATAAGAAAATAAGAGAACACAAGGTCCAGCCTATGTAAATGTTACATTGCCTGCCCAGCCCAGAATAAAGAGTCAAGACACAGCAGTTGAATAAAACTAGGGCCACAACTTTAGTAAACTATTTAAACCTTTAATTTCCCTTTCACAAGGGGGCCTACCGTAGTGCAACTTCCTCTGACTCCCCTGTACCACTTTAACCGGATCAGGCTACCAAGGGTGAGTTCCTATTGCCGAAGCACACTGACCTCTGTCCAGCACGTCTTCAGCCACCCAAAACCAGGAATCCCCCCACTGCTTCAGTCACTGAGCCTCGAGACCCTAGATGCACTGCCGCCCAGGAGATTCCCTTAATCCATCCTTTTCCACCAATCAGGGAGATGGGTTAATTGACACCTTCCTCAGATGCCCTGATGGAACTCACCCACAAGTCTTACCTTCGCACTACCTGCAGTTGTGACCTATTGAACATGACCTCCTTTCATTACCTAAATGTACCATGAAGTAAGAATGGGATGGGTGAAAGCATACCAGCTTCCTGTCTTGTGCCAATTGTGGAAGCCAGTCAAAAATTCCCATCCGGCCCTGAAGCAACCAGCTACTCTCATTCTTAATTCTCCAGGGTGGGAGGCTGGGTGGTCCGCACTGCGGACACCACGAAAGAGGCCAAGCTAGGGGAAGCCAACCTGATAAAAGGCTCTTCACCTGGACTCCCTTCGGCCTCCATGTCACGTGCCTGCGCTTGACAGTTCTGAGTGGGCAGACAAAACACTACTGTGGCGGCAGCTCTGTGCCGTGCGGAGCATCGCTTGAAGCAAAAGCAAAGTGTGCTGCTTATATACCGCCCCATAATGCTTCAAACACTCTCTGGGCAGTTTACAAGTTAATTATGCAGGTTACACATTGCCCCCCCTCGCAAGCTGGGTACTCATTTTACCGACCTCGGAAGGATAGAAGGCTGAGTCAACCTTGAGCCGGCTACCTGGGATTTGAACCCCGGGTCATGAGCACAGTTTTGGCTGCAGTACAGCGGTTTAACCACTGCACCACTTTGCAGTGGAGCTAAGAAGTTGTGGAGAACATCAGTAAGGAAAAATGGAACTCAGATACCTCACTCAGACCCTTCCCAATGTCTAAGTGGTTGAAGTGTGCAGGAGAAATCTTGGGATTCAAGATGGGTGGAATGACGCTGCGGTTGGCACCAACTCTGTGTCCTCCTTATAAGGCACTGATACTTCTAATTCCCCTTTTCCTGCCTTTAAACTCATGTCTTTTTAACATTAACATTTCTAACTCCTCAAAATGCCTGATTTCACACAAAAGATTTGTTGGGGTTCCTGTTCCACTCCTAGTTGCCACAAATATGAAAAATCTGCCAAGATTCAGTTGGTGTTTTAACATTTGGCTCAGTACAGTGCATAGCCCTCGTAGAGGGCAGACCCACTGAAGTCAGCACTTGGACATTCTACTGATTCAGTTGGCCTGTCTCATTTGGAAATAGCCAAATTGGATTGTTAGAATGTAATTGAAAATTCTCTTTTCAGTATTTTTCTTGTACTTTTTATGCTCCTTCCTTTTCGGATCCAAATCTGACTTGGTTTTGGTTGGGTTTTTTTTTAAACAGCCCTTTTAAAAGTATACATTAAGTTGGCTAAGCCAGTCTCCAATAGGAAGGAGTTCCATTTTGATGGTCCCACCATTAAGAAAGGCTTTTACTCTCCAGATTGATGGGCTTTCTTGGTCAGCCTGTGATCAGAGTTTCACTGACCAATTAAAATGTTACACTGTGTATATGCCTACAGGTATTTCTTCAAACATTTTGGCCCAAAGCAGTTAAAGCATTAAACATAATGCACAGTACTTTGAATAGTTCAGATTTCAAAATGCGGATATAAGTGGCACAGGCTATCTTCTTGTTTTGTACTCTTTTATGATAGTAAAGGTACAGTACTTGGTGAGTCCACCAAGATTTCCAGTGCCAGTTCAGATACAACAATGTCACTCTATTCATTCATAGCTAGTTAAACCAAGAGGAAGTATTGTGTTCATACTTTATGTGCTATCACTGCCATCTCCTTCTCTTCTCCCTCTAATGCAGTTTTTAGTGTCTTTAGTGTATTAATTATAGTTCATTAAACCAGAGTTTATTATTAGATCCAAAACAGAAAGCTATGGCTTAAACTGTGGTTACAAATCTGGATCTGAAACAGGGCTTGCTCCTAATTCCATATCCTGGTTTTTAAACAAGGGTGAAATTTGAGTGTCCTGGTTTACACAAGATATGGAGGCAGTGACAGATTTTATTTTTCTGGGCTCCATGATCACTGCAGATGGAGACAGCAGCCACGAAATTAAAAGACGCCTGCTTCTTGGGAGGAAAGTGATGACAAAACTTGACAGCATCTTAAAAAGCAGAGACATTACCTTGCCAACAAAAGTCCAAATAGTCAAAGCTATGGTTTTTCCTGTCGTGATGTATGGAAGTGTGAGCTGGACCATAAAGAAAGCAGACCACCGAAGAATTGATGCCTTTGAATTGTGGTGCTGCAGGAGACTCTTGAGAATCCCCTGGCCTGCAAGGAGAACAAACCTATCAATTCTAAAGGACATCAACCCTGAGTGCTCACTGGAAGGACAGATCCTGAAGCTGAGGCTCCAGTACTTTGGCCATCTAATGAGAAGAAAAGACTCCCTGGAAAAGACCCTGATGTTGGGAAAGTGTGACGGCAAGAGGAGAAGGGGACGACCGAGGATGAGATGGCTGGACAGTGTCTGCGAAGCAACCAACATGAATTTGACACAACTCCGGGAGGCAGTAGAAGATAGGAGGGCCTGGCGTGCTCTGGTCCATGGGGTCACGAAGAGTTGGACACGACTAAACGACTGAACGACGATGGTTTACACACAACAGGATTTAATAGAGAATCTTCTTCATCATCATTATCTTAGAACTACAGAGCTGGAAGGGACCCTATGGATCATTGAGTCCAACCTCTGTCAAGGAGAAACAGTGGGGAATCAACCTCCCAACCTCTTGCTTTGCATCTAGAAACCTAAACTACTGAGCTATCCAGCAGTTCTTGAAACATGAATATGTGGGCGAGGGAACTGTGTTAAGACAGAGTGCATGGACACAACAAGCATTCCTTGTTTAATACGTCCATAGTATATTAGACTACAATGAGAATCAGTGTCTCTGCTTCATAAGGATGGAATGGAAGTGAAGCCTGAAAATCAGCCTAGGAGCTGCATCATGTAAAAGAGTCATTATCATACAAAGAGGCTAAACTATTCTAATTCGCCATAGATTTCCCACTAATGAGTTGCCTTTCCCCACCATTACCTTTAAATAATCGGAAGAGAATGAAAGTGCTCCTTTCTTTAAGCCTATTTGTGAATACCACTATTTCCTTAATCCTTCATCCTCTTCTTGACTTTAACCTAGGCTACTTGTTTCAGTTCTATCCCCTTAAGCAACAGAATTCACCTTGTTTGCCTGCCTAAGTGGAATCCAAAATATTTTTTTTAAAATAGATATGGAATGCACAATATTCTTTTAAGCAGCAGCACATCATTTAGGCAACCTGTTTCATTCTAAGTCATAGAGCTGCCAGGATACAATATGATCACTGGAGAGACCATTAATATTTCAAAATATGTAATCTGTATTTATAATGAAGAAAGTTCATTGTAATTGAGCCTTGGAAGTAGAATTTTTCTTTGCAATTGCTGCTGTCATTAGAGGTAGTTCCTCACGTTGGACCCATCTGTATTGTTTGCTAACTACGTTTTTCACTAGTGAATAATTAGTACATGCTTGTTGCCCTCAGTGTTACCTTTACACTCTTTATATACTGATATTTCCATGGTTTTGAATGCAATTGTTCACATCAGCATATTGTGGATGCGTATCGGGATGGAGAATGGAAAGCAAGTAATGCAGATGCTTTAAAACCCCATGCCAGGTTTGTAAATACTGTACGTATGCCATATGTCCGAACTGACTTGATGGCACATTATTAAGGGAAGGATGGAGAACACGTGCCCCCCCCAAAAAAATGGTTAATGGAGAAATGATTAGTTTTTCTCCCATTAACTTTTTTTTTTTAAAAAAAATTAATGGCAAAGCTTAATTGTCAGTGATCTGCAGGTGTGGGTACCATTTGATGAATACCTTTTGGGATCAGTTTGTGGTATGAGAAATTAAAACAAGTTTGACCCATAAGAACGGTGATATCTGGATATAAGCAGTTTAGTAGTAAATTTTGATGTCTAGGCACTTCATCATGACAACCTCATGGCTATACCCCATAGATAGTCAAAAGATACAGACAGGTCTCTTGATCAATATCAAGAAAGCTGCTGTAACAGTTTTCATCACCACAAAGAAGATTTGCGCAAAGCTTCTTCTTTATTGTTCCTTTGCTATGAAAGATGAACATCATTATAGCCATTATAATTTTAGATGGGGGAACTGTAAGCAATGTTGTTGTGTTTCATCCAAAGTTCTTCAGCCAAGACTTTCTTCTCTTTTCTGCACTGCTTTTCACCCATCTATTCATAGTAAGACTAATGAGTCCTAACTGCCTGTTGAAGACAAAGTCACCCCAAAAAACTTTGCATTATAACAGGGATCACTTAAAGCAATATATTGCTCTTGCGAAAGAAGTTCATTTTTTTTATTTTAGGCACTGTATGGACTGCAGCTAAACTAACAGGAGAAAGGGGAAACCAATGGAAGTGGCAGAAGACACCACTGGCCCTGCTATCCTGCTCAGAATGTTCTGGTGCTTTGATCCTGCAAGTCCTAACTCTATTGCACCAATGCCAGGAACAGCTAATTTACTGCCTCTAAATCCAGAAGGCAAATATCAGACCTGGGACTGACACCAAGCTAAACTTGGATGATATTAAATCCTGGAACCAATAACACATTGGGGGGGGGGAAGCAGGAGGGGTTTCACAGATTTGCAGCACAGAAACAGAGTTGCCTGTTGACTGACTTCAGTAAACAAGCAATGGTTTATGTAATCCAACCCTTGGCAAGCAGTTCTATGACCTCCTTCCCAGGCAACCCCATCTCACAGTTTCCACTGTCCAAAGTGCAAAAGCAAAGGAAGCTGTTATTGATTCAAGTCTCCCCAGATATCTCAATGCGGCCACTAAATAGGAAGGTGTTCTCTAACCTTTGATGGGTCCAGCTTTTCTGAGTCAGAACTAAGTAACGTTTATTGCTTGGGCCCTCACAGCTACAAAACACAAAAGGGAAAAGCCATCCAGTGTTTTGTGACTCACGTGATCAGTTCCTTTTTGAGATCTCTTGAATGAAGCTTGGGTTTTGGACTTGGGACTGAGACATCTGAGTATTTCTTTTCCTCCAGATTTTCAGGGCAGACCATGGGATCTTTCTGAAATAATAAAAGATATTGTTATTGCAATATGTTGCTACCTTTTGCTTGGTGCTGACTACTGGCAAATGTTCTGTGGGTTCAGAGAATAGAGGCACCACAGAACACAAGCCTACTTTCAGTTAAGGGTTCATTTCACCAAAAATGTTTAAATGAATGTGTTGGGTAGGGAATACATACAAATTGCTGAACTCTTTCAGTTCTGAAGAGAGTCTTTCTTATGTATACTCATGTGAAAGAGAGTCATCACCATGTTTGCAAAAGCTAGTTTATGTGAACTGTTAATCATTATGGTGTTCTCCTGATCTGCTGGATTACTACTACCAACATTGTAATTTAATGGTCACATGAGAAATTGTGTATCTGTGTGAATAAATCATATTGCCAAAGCCTGATAACACCATTTACAAATACAGCTTATCTTGTTTTATGTATACATCCTGCCTGATGAAGAATTCTGTGTAACTCACTTCATATATTCCTAAATCGACATGGATCATGGAGTCCAGCCCTGTCAAGGAGGCACAGTGGGGAATCAAACTCCCAACCTCTGGCTCTCCAGCCAGAGATCTAAACCACTAACATATAATGGTCAACATTGGAATATTTCTTTGTTTGATTATTTGTTACTGCCTGGGGAAAACTCAAAAACCATTACATTCATCAACATATGCTTTTGAAAACAAACAATGACCTATGAGGCTGAAATAGCCATCACAGATCAAGCACTTTGGCCTGAGCTTTGTGTGTGTGTGTGTGTGTGTGTGTGTGTGTGTGTGTGTGTGTGTGTGTGATCCAAAGCACAAATTTTTCAAAATGACAAGTTGATATATTCAGTCTCACATCTCAGTGATGCTCTATATACATGCACAAACCAGTAGTCTGAAATACATTAAATTAAATTCAAGCACACTAGCATTACTTTATTGCAAGCAGGTTTGGGAAGTTTGATGAATAAATGTATAAGAGCAGTAAAGGACCGACCGGTAATGCAACAATATAATTGTCCAAGAAGATTAGTTAACCTAATAGTGTTTGGGAACTCTAGAGCTAAAATGAAGTGAACCCAAGGACTTACGTAGGTCAGGTATGATACCTGTTTTTATTTTCTTTCAACACCAGAAAATCTTCATTCCCCCCCCACCCCTAAGAAACCTATTTTCAAAATTAGTCTACCCCAGTGCATTTGTGGATGTGTGAGAGTCTCTCTTTTTGGGGGGAAGCACTGGTAGTTGCACAGCTCTCTCGATGCATTTTGATCTGTCCTTTTCTGTACACATACAGGGGGTGGGGTGATGATGGCAGTGAGAATGAAATTCCATTAATGTACAGATGGACATTTATATTGATTTCTGCGAAGACTACAACATAATGACAACACAAATAACAGATAATAGCATCTGGCACTTTTAACATTTTAAGCCCTGAAATCTTTGGAGAACTGACAAATGAACAAAACTGACAGCTCCAGTTATTTCTCAGCACTTTCCTTTTGGAAAGAATATGAGCCTTTTCCAAATTCTGGATTTTTTTCAGGGGCATCTGGACCTGCCATTTATCAGTGTACGGAGGGAGACAATATTTTTTGAGAAATAGCTAAGCGCTGTGCATATGAATCAAGGCACAATAAATTAAAAATAGATATAGTAGTAACCTCTTTTTGAAAGGCAGCTGACACCCTCACAATTGACTCAGGCCTTTATCCTGAGATGATAGTCTATATCCAATATTATATGGAATCAATATGTCTCAGATGTGGATCCGAGAAAATTTACAGGATTCCTTTCCTTGACTCCTTTAATCTTGTGGAATGCAATACTAGGCTCCTTTCTTCCAACTGTTGTTGTTGATTTCATCTGTACTTATATATAATATTTTTGTTTAATTCACAGCAAACATCATTGCTACCACAATTGCAATATACCAGATCTGTAGATGTGTATCTTTAGGGATCTTAGCATTTGGCTTCACAATGAGGGATCTATTAGTTGTTTAACCTGGAATTTAAGGAAACTTGGGGTTGCACCACCACTGGGGTACAAATCCTAGATGGCATCTTGGTGCCATATTGCCTACAATTCTCAAGCAAGATATTCTCAATATATTCGCAAAGGCTTTTACGGCCGGGATTAATGGATTAATCACCCATCTACAGAAAAAGACAAAAGCCTATCTCACAGCCATAAATACTGCACTCCCAAAGCCAACTACACCAGAGCACAGAGTGCTGTCCTCTGAAGATGCCCATGGCCACAGAGACTGGCGAAACGTTAGGAAGAACAACCTTCAGAACACGGCCAAAGAGCCCAAAAAACCCCACAGCAACCATATTCAAAATATTTGGACCAGAATGGCAACTGCCTCCGAAGAAGATTCTGAGAGAGCCACTTTACCACAGTAAGTCTGATTGAAATTGTTCTTGAAGTACCAGAACACCACCAGATAGACTGAGCAGAATGACCATGAAAGGGATTGGTGGATTTTATGTTATGATGCTGCAGATTTTCCCACTCCAAGGTTTGCACTTACACAAAAGCCAATGCCCTAACTTTCTGTATTTTGCAACATTGGCCACAAACAGTTTGCAAGATGATGTATAGCCCTTGGGAATATTTCATCTGGCCTCCACTTGGCAGCCATTTTGAGCACATTGTTCCCAAGTTATACATAAAGATAAATCTGAAAAAATAGCCACTTCCTGTTGATTTATCAAAGTGTCAATCAGCTGGCATTATAAGGGCCCGATGCTGATTATTCATCATAAAAGCAAATCCAAATAACACTCTGGTTTGTCTAGTTTTTGGCAACTATGTCCATATGGAAAACATGGCCAACAAGACAGAGGGAGGGGAAGAACAAACAAACAAACAAAAAACATACTGCCAACAACCAATAAACACATAAATGAAAAGGGCATAACAAAAATCAAGGAAATCACCAGGTTTTAAATTATAATTTAGTACAGTATCTTTTACAAATCAGGATTCACTTTATGTAAATATTTGTCTTATTTATGGAAGGGTGTGTATGGGCCCACAGCTGCATTTTTGTTTTCCATTCAGTCTCTATTGTAGGCCAAATTGACGTGCCATGTTGACATGAATATTGATGTTCTCTTTGTGTTACAGCGCTTTTGTGAAGAAGATAGCTGAATGAATGAATGGCTTATATTTTTAATGTTGGCGCGATTTCTTCATGACTGAAGTGTATTGTTGCCTGAGGAGCAAACTATGCACGACAGCTCTGTTCCAGTTAAAGCAAGCAGTGGAGACTGCATGTGCCTTGTTCTACTTTCTCTTCCCACACTCAGGTCCACTTACAGCAGGGATGGGGAACCCTTGGCCCTTCAAATGTCTTAATCTGCACCTTCCATTTCTTTCCAAAATGACATATGTTAAAGAAGAGTCACCACCTTAGATTTATAGTCTAAAATCCAATTGAGAAGTAACATGCGCATGAGGTGAACCTCACAGTGTTCAGGTATGTTTGGTTTTTAAGCTGCAGTGGGCTGTCTCTCACCTAGCTGGTTGTACAACTGTTCAAGCATGAAACATCATAAACAAAGTGCAAAGAGTTGCATTAAGTAGAGCCTTCTGGAGGAGAAAAACTCATATGGGATGGGTGTTACATGATCTCATAAGCAAGTAGGATTCTGGTCACACTGAAAAAACCTGCCTTGATGGAAAGACTATGGGATGCAGATGAACAACTGTAGACAGCTGCACTCTAAGAGTTATGTCTTCATTGGATGGAGGGTAAAGCTGTATTTAAGGAGATGGGACTGCTGCTGTCTCATATAAATAGGTCATAACTCTCCATGTAGATTAGAAGGATATATGTCATGAAGCCTAGTCCTAGTCAGGGTTTTGACTACCACATAATAAAAGCCAATGTGGATTATGATCTCAGGGAAATGAAGAAGTAACTCCTAGAGAGTAGAAATATACAAAATGCAGGTCTCCGGTTATTGTTGGACTGCAACTCCCAGGATTCCTCCAGTTATTGTTGGACTGCAACTCCCAGGAATAGTCCTCATTGACTATTCTGACTACAGCCAACGCAAGGGCCATATTTTGCACAAACCTGTGTTAGAGACTAAAATAAGAAAGTAAAGCAATGCATGGAGAGGAGACGCTTGAACCATTTGTCCATATTCCACATTTTCACTTTATACTCTGCTGAATTTAATAGGTACTGGCTCATGTTTAAGGAAACAAATCTGCTGCTATCATATTGAGACGGAGGGTAAAAATAGACATTATAGATAGCCCATGATTAGAAGAGGAAACTCTTCAATCATGTGATTGTCACAGCAAGAGTTACTCTCATCTCCAGAAAATTGTGTTTTATTTGATGATTGGTCTTCATGAGTTAAGCGTGACAATCCTTTTGAGCCTGACTTCGCAAACTGGAAAGACCAGATCCCTTACTTCTCTCCAACACAAACTTGTCTACTGCTTCACTTCTACACTATTTATAGCATGAGTTTCTGCCTTGATCTCAATGCAACATTCAAGTCACAAAGTGTAATCAAGGACAATAGAAACTTCTCCATCAGATCTCATATTCACTATATGTAGTCAAAGGGTTAAGGCAGTGTTGTTTAAAATTCTTTGCTGAGACTCTCGTGAAAACAAACTCTTGGAAGAAATACACTACTTTACAACATCTTTAGGTGAGATGACCACTAGGAAAGCAGCATGTCACAGTTTTACCTATCTACAGAGATTATGAATGCACATTGTACAGTAGTCTGTGGACAAAACAAGAAAAGAGCTCTAATTCTGAGTGTATATTATATAAACATGACCTGTAGATTATTTATATACTAGGTCACATGGGGAAAGAGAAATTCCAGTTGCAGTCTTGGAAATAGATTAATAAATATTGATTTTTATGTTGTAAATAGTTTCTCTGCTTCTAACAGAAACTGGCTCCCCATATTTTATGCCTTTGGCCAGATATAATGGCCACACTTTCTAGAATGCATGCTTTAATGATTATTATGAAGCCCTCCATATGCATGTACCAAAATCTCTTTTAGAAGGTGGATGGATAGATGGAGAAAATCTCACTAAAGAATGAGTTGATTATACTATACATTTGTGCCCCGCTTTACAATTACCCCATTTAATGATGAATCTGCTTGACGGTGAGGTTTTTGCGATCGCAAAATGATGGTTTGAATGCGGGTTTTCCACTTTGCAATGATTGGTTCCCTGCTTCAGGAACCAATTTTTGCTTCACGACGATCAAAAATAGCTGATCGTCAAAATGGCCGCTGGCTAAAGAAAATGGTTCCCCACTGTGCTTAGGGACGGATTCCTCGCTGCACAGGCACCGAAAATGGCCACCCCATGGAGGATCTTTGGTGGACGGTGAGTTTTCAGCCCATTGGAACACATTGACTGGATTTCAATGCATTTCAATGGGCTTTTTTATTTCGCTTTACAATCTTTTCACTCTACAGCGATTTCGCTGGAACGAATTAACGTCGTCGAGCGAGGCACCACTGTATTCCTTAGCCCATAATGTTAAGTTCCTGCTCTCATCCCATACATGAAGCACTGGAGCATTAGAGGCTACCACTCACACTGAATATTTGAAGACAAGTGGAACATTAGTGGTCACGAAGAGTCGGACACGACTAAACGACTAAACGGAACGAACAGAACATTAGTATGTCCCTCCCCTCAACCTATCCCTGGTACCAAGTTAGTGACAAACAGAAAAGGTACCTCTTTCTCCTCTTCTTTCCTCCCCTGACTTTTGCTATAGTTGATGGGTGTATCCCAGCCTTCCTTTTCACACAAAGCCTGGTAGAAAGTGGCATTGACCAGAATGCGGCTTGTTTTGAAGGGAGAGGAGGAAGGAGTAGGAACTGTCGTGCTGGAAGAAATTAGGGGTGTAACCTTCTCTTGATTTCGATTCTTTTTCATGCTCAGATCCAAGGTGCCATTTTCATCCACTTCTATATCACCTCCCTGTTGAGCAAGAGGAAAAAGAGAAAAAAACGTAAAGCGGCAACAGAAGACATGTGGCGCTTTACAAAGATAAGTGAAAAATGTCTGCTTTTATTTAAATTTATCTAAATCTAAAACCAGCTTTTTGATTTACACCCATTTATGTTTAATTCTTAGGCAGACTTAAGTAGTATCTCAGTAATGCTCTTTCCATATTTCTGTGCTTAAACACAGTAAGCAGAATTTGAATAAGACGCTTCTTAAATGTCAACTATATTCTAAATCTGATTTTTTAAAAAAAGTTCAGCTGTAAATCTCCTCAATCACTTCACTTTTACAGAGAACTATGACCCCCTTTATGGTAAAAGCATTAATTCACTGCTTAGTTCATCAAAAGTATTATTATTACATTCCCCTCCCCCCAACAACCTAGAGATATTACAACATCTGTATCAGAGGGGGCAGGGAAAGAAATACACTAATCAGATACAAGAGGGCCATTTGTCATAGGTCTTTTATACATCAGTGACAATCTCACTTTATCTCAAATGGAGTTTGAATTACAAAGATCTTTTAAAAGGTTTACTGTGATAAAGAGAGACAGATTGTGTTCCTATCTGGGGGAAAAAAACAGAGCTACTGTATGTTGGAAACTGTACAGACTAAATGGAGGTTATTTTTCTTCCTATGTTGGTTCTTATTCTACATGTTTCTGAATGTTACTTACGATATATTTAAATTTATATTTGTTATATTTCTCTCCCACAATTTCCCCAATGTGCTCAAAGTTACACACATGGCCGTTCTCCTGCTTACTTTATTCTCACAACCCTGTGAAACACGTCAAGCTAAGAGAAAAGGGATGGCCTCAAGTGGGCTTTCTGGCTTAGCAATGGCTTAGTCCAAAACTCTAACCATAACACTGTTGGCTCACAGATGTTTGCTTCTCATTTGTCTCACTCTCTTAAAAAAATCACTTATAGAGACAACTATACCCTGTTCAGTTAAATGTCAGAGAAGGATGTCCATACAAATTTAAATTTTTGCCTCATCCAGTAATCATATGGTTCATCCTTCTCCGAGGCATATGATGCCAAGGAAGAACTATGGCACTGCAATGGATTCTCGAACATTATGTTTTTTCGTTGGTCAACACAAGGGACTTTACGAGAGGCAACTTAACTGGGACCATGTTTTCTAAAATATTTTGCTGGTTCATTTGCACAGAGTCTAGCACACAACTAGATATCCAGAGAAGTTCCTGCCTCCTCAGTAGGGAGATTTGTTTCAAATAGCTCAAAATACTGAACTAAAAAGAAGCCGTTTCCTTGACTGATTCTCTGGACTACCTTCAAGATAGTGTTTGAAATGAATGATAATCAAAATCCAGAGAAAGCACCTGCAACACCCACAGGGAGGTGTCCCCATTCATTACTACCACACTAGTGAGATACATACTCCACAAGTAGCCACACACACCCCTCTGGCCCCTTCACTCTAAACCTAGCCAGTTCCTTATTTGTATCACTAGTTTAGCAGTTTGCTTAGGGACAACCATCCTAAGAGTTTGGGGTTGGCCATTTAACTGTACCAACCAGTCCGTGCCCTTTCTATAGTTGCTGGTTATATTTTGATATACTGTTGAGTGAATTGATCTACTTAGTGAACATTCTGGCTGGCTCTTTTTCTTTGGTGTATCCTCTAGAAATGTGGGTCTCGTACAGTATATTATTGACTACTAAATACCCTTTGATTAAAACTATACTTAAAATAAATAAGTAGAAGAATTGTGTTTTAAACAAACAAAAAGAGATTAAAAACAGAGAAATGGGCAAAAGGAAAAGGTAATTTATGAGCTATTTAAATGGAAGAGAATGAAAATTCTAATTCTATATTCATTAACAATATTTATGCACACTTCACCACAGACCACTCTGCTACATCCAAGGAAACTGAGGAACAGACTCTTTCTAAACAGACGCCTTGGTTCTGACTACCCAAGATTAGAGTCCCTGACTAAGAGGCCAATTGCCACTTCACATAGGATCCCTTTGCCTTTCAAACATACCAACCAATCAGTATTCATCCCTCACCCAATATTCCATCAGTCGTCTGCCAGTCATTCTAACACCCAGCCCATTGAAGCATACCAGCCGTGCATCCACAACTATATGCCATACAAACTGACTACTTTCACACACACACTCCTGGTTAGTAACATCCAAAGAAAATGTTGTTAACAAGATGGTGTTTTTTTTGGGGGGGGGAGGAATACAAATTCAAAACTTATTCCACCTTCAGCCATTTTCTGAGTGTCCTGCTTCTTTACACATATTTTTTTGAAACACAGTTAAGAGAGTCACATATGTAGACAACAGGAGTTGCTATTGCATCTTTGATTCTGGATGCCTAGCTCAAAAAGAAGGAAAGCTATTCCAAAATAAATCTGTGTATGGAAATAATCATTACATTTGATCCTGCTCCCTCATTGGAATTCTACCCTCTCTTCTTCTGTTCTACAAAAGGGAATGTAATTCCTGTGTGATACCTGGAGTAGGTGCTAAGAAAATTAGTGATCTTGATTTATTTTGAAAAACTGAGAAGAATCCGGCTAATTGTCTACTGCAAGTCAGAAACTCTTATATGTGCTCCTCTTGTATGATAAAGTCCACATTTTTCATCCCACAGCTTACAGAGAGATGTGCTTTATTATATTTATGGGAAGTAAATACACTTCTAATACGTTCATACTAAGATGCTTTGGTTATATCTTTCCTGTCCCTTTTTAGTAAATAGTTTAATCTCCTGTGATAGTTTTAAGCCCTGAATTTGACAGTACAGCTTATCCTGGATAATAACTTAGTAACCACAACATCTTATGCCATCTGTATAATATCAAATACATTTTATATCAGCATTAATAAACCTTACAAAAAAAAAACCCAACCAACAACCCAAAACAAGATATTAACTGTATCAGTGCCAGCGGAACTTTCCAGAACCTAACTGCATTGCCGTGATTACTCTTGTGTTTTTCTGGCTTCATGGCTGATATCTAAGTACAGCCATGAAACAGAGCTACAAGTAATCAAGTTTAATTACCACCGTAAAGTGAAATGCTAAATATTGTAGTTGCTGACATTTTTCATAATAAAAAAAACTTGGGTTAAGTCTGCCTGACCAACATTCACATAAAATGCCAGACCTCTGTGACAGATGGCTTAGGAGAAGATGCCATGTGATAGGGCTGCAGTAGTTTTATAGTGCAAAAACCATAAATAGTGCAGATTTCCTGTCACTGACAAATACTCGCTACTCAGAAGGCAGAGACAACAACAAATTCCATAAAACACAGTCTTCTTCAATTTTTTTAAAAATCTAAACATATCAGGGAAACACATTTGATAGTTGGGAATCAAGCTTCTTTGTGCAATGCCCACGAAAGACGTGAGGCAGACCTTTTTTTTATTTTTTTTTATTTGTGGATGTGAATATGAAGATACAAGCTAGGGGCAATCTTCTGGTGTGTCAGGCCTGGTCACCAGATACCTAATTCTGTTCAGAACATATCCGAAGTGTATAAACATAGCTGAGTGCAGATGGGGTTTAAGTGAGCTCACAGATGCACATGACAATCAAATATAGCCATGGAAAAATAGCCTCTTGTGCTCATAAGGAGGATGGGTCCCATGTTTACAGCATGCCTTTTTTTGTAGTACAAAATTCATGTAACAGTTTGCTGCAGTCATGGTAGCTGCCAAAAACCCGAAGGAAAAGCTACTATAAAATGCTATTTTTTCCCCCTTGTGTATATTTGACTGTCCTCTCTTGACAACAGACCTTAGGGATGGGCAAAAATTTTGTTTCAGGTCAATTTTATTATCATATATGTTATGTACATATTTAAGAGATTTCCAGCAGAGAATAGAAACCATTTTTTAAAAGGTAGAAATGGCTGTTTGATTAGTACTGCTTATTTTCATCCTGCCAGAATAAAAGGGCATTTGGATAGCTCTGGGAGATGAGCTAGAATCATGTGTTGCAGATCTCGTAAATTTGGGCCCTTGGCCATTGCAGGCAGAAGACCGCAACTTGGAATGCTTCTACAAAGAAACCCTATGTATACAGGAAAGCAGCACATCAAGGAAAGACTAGGACAAAATCCCCCCCCCCGCGCTGTCATATCTGACAGGCAGTATGGTATTTATAGGGTAAAGTATTCCACTATACATACTGCCTTATATCTTTCCCAAAATGGCTGCAACACAACATTCTCCTGAAAGTGTAGATTATAGAGGGCAGTGCTTCCCAACCTTTGGATTAGGTAAAGCAGTAGTTCCCAGCTACATAATTGTTGGAGTTTTGTTTGCAACTTTGCATGCTGCTTGTGGTTTGTGTGACTGGGAAGAATTTTTCTGGTCTGGGCTGATTGTCTGTCAGCATTAACGAACCATTCCTTTCAGCCTTTGGTTTCAAAGAGGGCCCCACCTCTCTGCTGAGTGCTTGTCCCCCTCTCCTTCCTCTCTTGGTGGCAGCTGTTTGTTTGCTTTTGATCTGTTTGAAACTGTAATGAAACATTTTTTATTTTTTTCTCCTACAAATATCTCAGAGTGAGTTACTGAGACTTTAAGTGCCAGTTAACGATAAAGGGGTGAACTATCTGGGGAACTTATAGCTATTCTCCTCTGTGGCTCTCTGTATTTCTACTGTGTAGCAAAAGGAATTTTACCAGGAATATAAAACTCCACAACAGATATAGCTGGACTGTAACTCCCATTATCACTGACCATTGGTCATGCTATAGGGGGATGATGACACTTCTCGTCTCTGAGTATCTGGGAATCCAAGGGATAAACATGGACTAACAAAGGCAGGTAAGTGTGCCTAGACTCTCACAAACAGTGTTAAAAGCAAAATGTGCTGCTTATATACCGCCCCATAGCGCTTCAAGCACTCTCTGGGCAGTTTACAATTTAATTATGCAGGCTACACATTGCCCCCCCCCCCAGCAAGCTGGGTAC